AAACTATTTGCTGACTTTGAATGCTGTCTTTAACATAAATCAGGACTCCACCCCCTTTCCCTTTCCTTCTGTCCCGTCTGTACACATTATACCCTGGAATATTAAAAACAGATAAAGGTGTTGTTGGGGTTAACCAAGTCTCTGTGAGGCATAAGTAGTCGATGTTTGAGTCCGTTAATAAATGTTCAAGTTGTTCGGTCTTTGAAATAAGGCTACGTATGTTCAAGTGGCCACCAAAAATGCCTTTCGGCTTCGTTTTAGCGTCCCACAACACACTCGCATGATTTACAGTCTGAAACAATTTCATCTGCTGCTGTTTAAGGCACGAAGTTATCATCATGTTTGTTGGAGGAATATTACCTCGAGTTCCCGCGCCGGTAAAGGCAGCATGCTTCGCCGGGATGTCAAAATCAGCCGTTTGGTCAATGTCCAAAGATCTCGGTCCAGGATTTGAATGGACATCTCCGCACAAAAGGAGGATTGCGCAGAGAACGACGGCTGGGCCTGGCTTTGTTGACATAGATGTAGAGTGTCCACGCAGCTCATTTTGTCAAGTCAAGTCAAGTCACCTTTATTTATATAGCGCTTTTTACAATACAGATTGTATCAAAGCGCTTCACAGTGATAACATGAAAACAATATAACAAAAACAATATAACAATATAACAAAGTTTGTTTCTAAAAGAAATTGCGTCAACGTCCACCTTAAGTAAGGCAGATCAATAATATTATTGAATATCAAATGTTAAATGTCCCCAACTAAGCAAGCCAAAAGCCAAGGCAACAGTGGCAAGGAACCAAAACTCCATCAGGTGACAGAATGGAGAAAAAAACCTTGGGAGAAACCAGACTCAGTCGGGGGGCCAGTTCTCCTCTGGCCAACGAAGGAACAGTGCATGATTCGGGCAGCATTACAAGTCAGATTGGATCGGAACATTTAGAGTATTTTTTGGAAGTCCAAGTATGCACGCCGGTCTTAAGACGAGTTGTTGAGGATCAGTGCCGTCCACCATAGAGAGTCCATATCGCCCGTGTTGAGTCGTCACTTCATAGGCTTTGTGATTGGAGCATCTGAAGTCTCCGTGAGAGGCTGGATACAAACTGGAGCTGACGAACGCCATTTTCTCGGGACTCGCGTTTTTTTTTTTGCACGCCTCGCTCGACCATCATCCAGGATGTTTGAGTATAGGATATACTGGCTCCACGAGACCACCGGCACACCGACAGCGAGTTTTGCAGGTGAGTCCATAAGCACACGTTTAGAGGTAGAGCTCCAGCTCACCCATATCTGTGAGCCCATCAGAAAAAGCAGGTGCATCACCAAAATAACGTGGTGTAAGGACGTATTAATTTTAACAGAGTTTTTATATCGCCGAGGCGCCCAAGTTTCATGTCGTATTTTATGATAACCTGGCGGTCTCCCAGTATGGTTTAGGAGAGGTAAGACAGCAGTACCTGCCACTCTGCCGCTACCAGCCGCCATCTTTTTTCCTCCTAAGAACCTAAAGAATATAAAAAAGAATCTAAAAAAAAAAAATTAATAAAAAATAAATAGGGAATCACCAAAAACGCGAGGATGATTCTGATTTTATGTAACTGGCGATATACACTCACCTAAAGGATTATTAGGAACACCATACTAATACTGTGTTTGACCCCCTTTCGCCTTCAGAACTGCCTTAATTCTACGTGGCATTGATTCAACAAGGTGCTGAAACCATTCTTTAGAAATGTTGGCCCATATTGATAGGATAGCATCTTCCAGTTGAGGGAGATTTGTGGGATGCACATCCAGGGCACGAAGCTCCCGTTCCACCACATCCCAAAGGTGCTCTATTGGGTTGAGATCTGGTGACTGTGGGGGCCATTTTAGTACAGTGAACTCATTGTCATGTTCAAGAAACCAATTTGAAATGATTCGAGCTTTGTGACATGGTGCATTATCCTGCTGGAAGTAGCCATCAGAGGATGGGTACATGGTGGCCATAAAGGGATGGATATGGTCAGAAACAATGCTCAGCTAGGTCGTGGCATTTAAACGATGCCCAATTGGCACTAAGGGGCCTAAAGTGTGCCAAGAAAACATCCCCCACACCATTACACCACCACCACCACCAGCCTGCACAGTGGTAACAAGGCATGATGGATCCAGGTTCTCATTCTGTTTACGCCCGGACCCCCCTAGAGTTACCGAGCTCCTCCACCCACAAAAATACTGTCGGAAACACGTAGGCTATATGATGGTCTACGAAAAATACACATTTTATTATCTTATTATTACAATACATGATCAGGATTTTGCCACCTCGCCTCGTTTTGAGCCAGGAAAAAAACTGTCTTTGTATGTATATACCATCTGAGTTGTGTCTTAACATGCAGTGTTATCCAACACCAGAGATTATAAAATATAGCAGTGTAGACGGCCTGAGTGCTCTAACTCGGCAGGATGATTAATGAACTTGCCCAGTGGCTCCTGAGAGTCTGACAGTTAGTTATCTTACTTCTTGCATGAATTACAAATCAACATTATTGAATGTTGTTACTCTAATTGGGTTTGAACAAGCTATGTTTTCACTCTAATTTGTATTTTACTTACTATATTTGGACTATACAAATGTGTTTTCCATGCACACAGAGAATCAGGGCCGTCGCTATCCTGCCCCCTCAGTCAAGATGAATGTGAAAATAGATTTTAATGATGAAATAGACTCTTTTTTTTTAAACACATATGATGAGTGCATAGGCTTTATACTTTCTAGGATATTAGGCTACTAGCAGCATTTTAGTTAAGTACAGTCTGTTTTGTCACATTTGACACAAACTTCCCGCACCAAGAAAAATGCAGCTAAGTAGGCTAAAGGCATGATAAAATATATATTTTTTCATGTTTGGTGGACTAGTTAGTTGATTATTTTTCTGTATTGTTATTATTTGTCACTGGTTCCAGTTCAGGCTGTTATAACTTACCATGAAATTATGCATCTGTTAAACGGGTCTCAATAAGTGTGTTACGTGTTAGTGAAGCGGTCATAAGCGTGTGTTTCATAGTAAAGCAAACACAATTACTTTTTGGTGGTGGTGGTCTGGATTCATGGTAAAACCGCTGAAATTGTTTAACTAGGACTAAAATTTGTTTATTTCATGGATATGGAGACAAATTTTTGAATGTAATGCCTTTTTGTTTTATGTAATGTTATTCAGTGCTCTGCCATCTGTATTTTCTCAGTAGTTTTTAGATTAATAATTGTGGTAGCTTCATACGGGTCGACAAATATGTGAATGGGCCACATTTGTTATTCTAGCTGGGGATACTTTGTGCTACGCCATCGCCCCCTTTCTTTACTTCATATGCTGCGGTGTGTGGAACACTTCTACTGTACTTCTGAAAATAATTTACCAGTGTCATTTAAGGATCTATTTATTTTAAGTTCTCTATCACCATTGAGATCTTATATATCAGTGTTTCTTCTACACAGCAGTGAGATTAAGGGGAGACCTTTGCTTAAGTCACTTTCTTTTCTCCTGGGAAAGACTCCAATAATGTCTCCTATGATTTCAGAAGAGATATTAGCAATACCTCAAACTGTGCCAACATTCATATGTCAGAGATTTCAATATGAACTATGAATTCAACATCAAGTGGTTGTTTCATTTGTGTCTATTTTAATTACTCCCAACTGAAATTATATGAGAAACATACTGAGACAATTAAAGTTCATTCTCAATGAGAACTCAATCTCCAGAGCTGTGAAAAACCATCTACTGAGAAATAATATGGATAAGCGTAATTCAAAGTGCTTTGTTTTCAATCTTTATTGAAAGGACAGTGGACAGGTAATGATGGGGAGGGATCAAAATATGAATTTATTGATTTTGATGTTTGGCTCAATTTTGATCAATTTGGGGTATTTTGTGGGAATTGTTTGTCCACCATTTTTAATGACCCATAAAACAAAATGTAATTTATAAAATATAAAGACAATATAATATAATATAATATATAAGGGATAATGGCCAGTTTCGGTAAGTGGTCTCATATACTACTAACTAAAACCCGCAATAAAAAAACACCAAGAAGACTCTAACATTGTTGGCCAAAACAGAATGAAGTATTCCAGAGAACTGTGTAATAAAACAGTTATTGTAAATTCAATTAAATATACCCAAAAGCAAGCACCAACCACCTAGCAATGCACTGAAAGCACGGCAGTGTTATTTTAGTATCACTGATATGCTATTATTGTAACGGTTATCAGCTGGAGTGCCCTTGAGAGCCACCTGAGGGCACTCCACATCAGACTATCATTGTTCACTCACAACTACATTTCCCATAATTCACTGCCTGGACTCATCATCCCTGATTATCACATTCACCTGTGTCTCATTATATTGTTTAGTTCACCCCATATAATGAGACACAGGTGAATGTGATAATCAGGGATGATGAGTCCGGGCAGTGAATTATGGGAAATGTAGTTGTGAGTGAACAATGATAGTCTGATGTGGAGTGCCCTCAGGTGGCTCTCAAGGGCACTCCAGCTGATAACCGTTACAATTATATTGTTTATTAATATTTTGAATTAATTTGTATTTTACATTTTCCAGTTTAATTTTAGTTTTATTTAACGTTAATTCAAAAAAAAAAAAATTATGTCTATGTAGTTTTTATTAATTTATTTCAATTTTAGTTATTTTAGTACATCAAGATAAACCAAATGAAAATGAGAAATATTGTCTTGGCAACAAGCTGAAATAAAATAAGTTTAAGTTTATATATATATATTATTTGGTTTGATTTCAGTTAACATTTATTTTTCAGTATTTCAGTATATTTTTCAGGGTTTTTTTTAAGTTTTGGTTTCGATTAACTATAATAACCCTTCCGTACAGTCAACCACCACTTACGTTTTCTTCAGAAAAAGTAAAAATCTAGTATCTAATAATTATTATCCATGTATGACTACACTGACTCCTAAACATTTCTGTTTTTTTTTTTTCAGAATGTGAGGCAATATCCATTAAGATGGAATCTCTTAACCATTCCACCTCCACTTTGCCTTCCTGCACCTACAAGGAGGAGTTCAAGCGCTACCTCCTCCCATCCGTCTACAGCCTGGTCTTCATCTTTGGACTGCCGCTCAATTTCATTATCATCCTGCGGATCTGGGGCTCACGGCGCACACTGACGCGGACCAAGATCTACATGCTGAATCTAGCCGTGGCGGACTTTCTGTACGTCTGTTCCCTTCCTCTTCTCATATACAACTACGCCAGCAAGGACTACTGGCCGTTCGGCGACTTCACCTGCCGTCTGGTTCGCTTTCAGTTCTACAGCAACCTTCACGGAAGCATCTTCTTCCTCACCTGCATCAGCTTCCAGCGCTACATGGGCATCTGCCATCCGATGACGCTGTGGCCTAAACAGGGCGGGCGCAGGTTGGCATGGTTGGTCTGCGCTGGCGTTTGGGTGGCCGTCGTCTTGCTCTGCGCTCCCACGTTTGAGTTCGCCGCCACCGGCATCCAGCGCAACCGCACGGTGTGCTACGACCTGAGCGTTCCCGTTCGTGCAACAGAATACTTCCCGTACGGCATCACCTTGACCTGCCTGGGCTTCGTCGTGCCCTTTCTGGTGATCGTGGTGCTGTACTGCAAAATGGCGCGGGTTCTCTGGCAGGTCGGCGAAGCCAGAGAAGTCTCGGCCGCGGAAAAGAAGAATAAAGCCATCAGGATGATCATCATTGTAACGCTGGTGTTCGCCATCAGCTTTTTGCCGTTCCACATGACGAAGACGCTCTACCTGCTAGTGAGGACTTTTCCCACGGCCCCCTGTGAACTGAGGAACCTGCTGGCTGTGGTGTACAAAAGCACCAGACCCTTTGCCAGCATGAACAGTGTTTTGGACCCCATTCTGTTCTACTTCACCCAGCCGCAGTACAGGCGCAGTACCAGAAGCCTGCTGCTCAAAATCACCTCACTGAAAGACATGACTGCCAAAATCTGACTGGAACACGCCTGGTTTTGTCTAATATTACTGTATATGAAAGGTTTAGTTCACACAAACATGACAATTCTGTCATTAATTACTCACCCTCATGTCGTTCCAAATACGTAAGACTTTTGTTCATATTCGGAACTCAAAAGAAGTTATTTTTAATGAAATCTGAGAGCTTTCTGTCCCTCCATTGACAGCCTATGCAACTACCACTTTCAATCCCCAGAAAGGTAGTAAAGACATCATTAAAGTAATCCATGTGACTTCAGTGGTTTCACCTCAATTTTATGAAGTGAATCGAGTGCTTTGTGTGTGCAAAAAACCCCCATAATTGACCACTTTATTGACTAAATGTTAATCTCCAATGCACGTTCATGACAACACCACGTTGTATGTGTGTTGTGTTGACGCAAGAGCAGACGTTGTTGCGTGAATGTGTGTCAGAGATTATTATTTAGTAAATAAAATGGAAAAATTATGTTTTTTTGGCCCAAAAAAGCATGTCGCTTCATAAAATTGAGTTTAAACCACTGGAGTCACATGGATTACTTTTATGATGTCTTTACTACCTTTCTGGGGCTTGAAAGTGGTAGTTGCATTGGCTGTCAATGGAGGGACAGAAAGCTCTCAGGTTATATTAAAAAGATCATTTGAGCTCGGAATATGAACAAACGTCTTACAGGTTTGGAGCGACATGAGGGTGAGTAATTAATGACAGGATTTAAATTTTTGGGTGAACAAACCCTTTCATACAAGACACTACAGTCAAATACATTGTTTTTTCATGCACTGGACTTTTGAGATTTAGGCTATTTTGCTTCCATAACTTGTCTTCTTTCAGACTAGTCAAAAGAACATCCAAAATACACATTTAAGTGTTTAATTTATTACAGTTTATCTATTTGCATGTGTATTTCAATTATAAATACATATCTTTAAAAGCTTTGCGTTTTTTTCGCCTGCACTCAACCAGAAATCTCCACTTCAGCAGCTTTACATACTCCAAACTTTAGTTTTATTCCTTTCTAGATTATTTTCTAGTTTGTTCATATATCATTTGCCTGATTTATATAATATTGTATTCTTAAAAACATGATGACATTTTTTTCAGACTGTTGGGAGTATGTTCTGATTTATGGACTGATAAAAAGAGATATACAAATTCTCCTTTGTAAAAAAAATGAAATGAATCAATCATTTTAAATCTGGCTTTATCCTGCATGTGTTCAGATTTTGGTTCTGGAAATGTACACAAATGAGTACATTTAAAAATAAAAAAAAGCCATTGTTTGCATATTTAAACAACATTTCAGAAAACTTGTAATGGAAAATGTCATGTCTTTATGTAGTGTGATTAATTACCTGGGGGAGTATGGTGATATCTACAGTATTAGTTAACAAAAATATTGCACATATTTACCTGTGGTGTCTTGGCGTTAAGATAATTAGTAGGTTGTGTGGATGTTGAAACCAAAACATTTTTTATATTTATATACAAAACGTACAAAGCATTTAGGATCTCTACTGTGAAAGGAGTATGTAATGGCTGAAGGAAGTGACCCTTTTGATCGATTCGGTGTTACAAAAAATCATTTATTAAGATTGAAACTATCGTGCATCACCCTATGGACATTTGCATTTGCTTTGAGTTAGAGAACAGCCCACCAAAGCATGGCAGATGACTAGTGGAGCTGTGAGCTCGTACCCTGTGAATGGCAGCTGAATGAGATGACTAGTTTGGCTGATCCAGTCAAGATCAGCTGATCTCTCCTTACATGTGAAAAGGTGGTGCATTTTATTAACATGTTATGATGGCAATAGGAAATAAGAGAAGATACAATTGCTGATATAAGACTAATAGAGCTGAGAAATAAGAAATGTTTCTAATCCAAGGGGATTTAGAGTGCAACTTAAAGAAATAATCTTTCATTTTTAGTGAAGTTACATTAGTGGTGAAAGTATGAACTTTTTGTTATTTTGATATGAAAGAAATAGAAATCACACATTCTTTATTCATATTAAGAAGTTTTATTTATATATTTTTGTAATATATAATTCTGTTTTATGACTTGTGTGTGTGTGTGTGTGTGTGTTTATATAAATAAAATATGAAGCAGCACAACTGTTTTCAACATTGATCAATATAATGCAGCCTTGGTGAGTATAACAGACTTTAAAAAAAAAAAAAAACATTTAGTGATCCCAAACTTTTGAATGGTAGTGTTTAAAGTATGCATGATATATAGGTTCGAGGTAACTCTTTTGAAACAGTGAAGAGTGGAATTATGGATGAGACATAGAGATGAATAGAAGCATTTGGAATGGAAAGAATAACACCATCTGTTTACCATACTACATCTGCTGCACATTATCTGAAGGAAAGTCATTATCAGATGTTTGATGGTTTAATAACATGTTGTACAGCTCAAGATCCTTATGAAGTGACGTCTTGTCCTACAAGAGAAGGATCTAGTGTTAACAACAACATATGAACAGTGCCTGATTCAGGAACAGAGCTGTGCTGCTGTTCTGTCATTGTGTTTTCATGAACAGGGCAGTTTAATCACAGATATAGACATCTTTTATTTGAAAGCTTGACCAAAATCTACAAAACCTTATAAATACCATCAAGAAAAAAGCTAGAATGCATCAACAGAGTATATTTGAGTGTGTTTCAGTCATTTGGCCAGTATTATGTTTGTGATTTTTTTTGTGTAATTTTTTATGAATTTTGTCTTCTCTATTCAATCTACTGTATATATCTGACGGGCAAATAAGAAACTTTTCCTTCAATGTGCACAAATATGAAGCTAAATAAAATAGTTTGTTTTTATGTTCGGAGTGGAATACTAACATAAAGCATACACTGCATTCACATATACTATATCCTGCGGTTTCATTGAAATTGTTTGAGAAACATTATGCATTAATTTGCGGTGATAAACATTTCAAACAGAAGTATCCTACACATGACCTTTCCATGTTGCATATTTGATTCATCAAGTGGCATTCAGTTATCATTAAATAAAAATAAAAAATTCATTATTTTGCATTTTTTAACCCTGAAAAAAAAAGTGCTAGTCCAATCAAATAATGAGTAAAGAAAAGACTGATATTATTTCAGGTTCATCATGCTAGAAGTGGAAGGTCAAGTAGGGAATTTTGGATATGTTATCTAGCACAGTGTGCTCTGGTTGTACACAGTATTTTTTTGCAAATGTAGCAGATCATGTGTATTCCATGCATACAAGCAATTTGCATACACTAGTGCAGAGATAGTAGTATTGTATGCTATTTTTAACATATAGGCTAGTGCTACAAATTTAACTAATGAGCAACTTCAACTCACTTTGAAGCAACAACCATTTGTGTCTCAGGCATTATGAACGACCAGTAGGTGGTATAGTTTACCTATGAAAAAGTTTTTGTTAATAAAAGCAGATGTGATGTTTGCACATTAAACTGGTCTTTTGCTTCCTGCTTCAGTATAAATGGTCAAGCATTAGTTGAGTGTATACTGAGAGAAAGAATTTAAAGAAATGAAATAATTTATGAACATGCAACTTTGGGGCAAAATTCATCACTGTCCATATAATGATGAATACACATGTCACTGTTATCCAAATGTACTTAAAGCAAAGTCATTGCATCTGTGTCTATATTTGTAGTATAAGAATACAATATATTTTTCAAGTAAGTACACTAGTTATTGAATGCTTGTATAGTCAATGTGCAAATAAAATGTCTGACAATTAATGTTTGTTTTTGCTTTTGATTTATACATATCAAACACTATTTCTCTAAATAATTTGGTAGAATCTCAAGATGTAAGTATAATATTCAATCAAGCTATTTTAATATAGTGTATTTCCTAAATGTTGTAAATTGTTATACATGAGGTCTTTCTGAATGAATTTGTTATTGAAACGTGTTATGTGAAATTTTGATTTGTGAAATAAATTTAATTGACAAAAGTGACAAATAATTTACAATATTGTATTATCTTAAAAGGATAGTTCACCCAAAAATGATGTCATCATTTACTCACCCTTAAGTTGTTCCGAACCTGTATGAATTTCTGTCTTATGCTGGACACAAAAGAAGATATTTTGAAGAGTGTCAGTAACCAAACAGTTGATGGGCCCCATTTACTTCCATAGTGTTGTTTCCCAAACTATTGAAGTCAATGGGGCCCATCAACTGTTTGGTTACCCATATTCTTCAAAAGATCTTATTTTGTGTTCAACAGAAGAAAGAAATGCATACAGGTTTGGAACATCATGACAGAATTTTCATTTTTGGGTAAACTATCCCTTTAAGCAATGACATTCAAAGGCAATTGTGTAAACGAGAATATGGCCACTAGAATGCACTCTAGTCATGTAAATAAAAGGCAAGATAGACGAAAAAGAAAGAGAGAGGGGGGGAGAGAGAAAAGAACCCTTCGAAACAAAGGACTGCAAAAGTTTTTACTGTAAAGCTAGTTCTGCATACAAACAGAGCTTTTGGTTAAAAAGGCAATAACTATTTATCTGTCTCAGTCTCCCCAAAGCTGAGCAAAGAAACTGAAGATGATCATTTGTTCAACAGTTTCCCACTGTGCATTTACGAACTGAAGCCTATGTCAGCATTATCTTCTCTCTCACATCAGAAAGAGGAAAAGCTGGATCCCCCCCCTCATTTTCCCCAGGGGTCTCTCTCTCTCTAACCCCGACCTCATGTTTTAGTCCCGCCCCCAATCCAAGCAACTATCTGCATGTAAAAAGCCACAAGTCACGGAAACCCTTAATTGTGCCTAAAAAAGGCTGAGCGCACTTAGTCAAGCTTAAAATTAAAGGATGCGTATGAAGATAGACAGTCAGCCAAGGAAATGGGATTTACCTTGGAAAAAGTACATTATTCAAGCGTTTCTCTAGTGTTTGTTGGGCTGAAACACTTGGGAATTTTTTGCTCAAACTTTGAGCTCTTTCTAAATGCATGTATGGACACTAAGGGAGGCAAACATGCGCAAAGGTCTTGGGATATAACTCTGGTTTCGTAAACAATCTCATCTGTTGTTCCTGAAGTGTTTTTTTTTTTTTTGTGTGTGTGTCCTCCTCTCCGGAAAACACTGCCAAGCTA